CCTATCTTAGTACAATAATGGCATACTACGTTTGGATTATGCATATGCCTAGGTTGAACCAAATATTTTTAGGTGATCTAAAATCATCATTCCTAGAATTATTGACTAAATTCCTAGACTCATTTCTAGGGTTTTCTCAAAATATTTCTACCATTTGTAAAAATCCGAGAGTCAATTCTAGGTTGTCTCACATGATTACTTTTATTCTTTTTATAATTAATTTTTTATACCTAGGATTATTAGTTCTTCTAGGTGGTCTATCATTCTTAACTTTTTGACAAAGTTTCTTAGACTCTTCTAGCTTAATTTTTTCAATGGTGTTCTTAAGTTCTACATTCTCTAGTTTTAAAGAGGAACAAGTGGAACTTTGGTCAAAGAAAGAATCTTCATTCATTGTCTCCCATCACAAGGCTTCTTGTAATTCTTCAAATGAGAAGGATTTAGAAGTACTTACCTCTCCATTTTGTTCATGTGCCATAAGACATATGGTGGCAGTTGCATCATCGGAACTTTCCGAATCCCATATGATAACTCGGGTTTGGTTTGGTTCTTTTTATTCTTTTTTAGGCATTTTGAATATTTTTAGTGTTTAATTTTTAGTTGTTTAGCTTAGTTTTATTATAATTTTCATTTTTACATTCTTTTTATTTTCTTTCAAAAAATAGTAGATTTTAATCACTTTTTACATTCTATTATTTTTATTTTTATTTTTTTTAACCCAAGTTATCAGATATTTTATTTTTTGAAGAAAAGTGTAGCAAAAGGTCAAGTTGAAGATCAGGTTTGAAAAAAAAGATTGAATTTGGGCCGAAGCCCAAACCCATCAACAACAAAACCCAGCCAACATCTTCTGATTTCATTCAACGCGTGAAGAAAAGATTGGGATCTGCGACTTCTTTTCTAACGCAAGAACGGATATACACGCTCCAACGTCTCTCCTTCTTCTACGCTCTTCACTCAATTCTCCAACGGAAGAATGCCAACGGGAAGAATCCTCTTGCTATAAATGGGAGAGGAATTGCAATCGAAAAAGGGGGGAATTCACACAGAGAATAAAGCAGCGGCTTGGCCGCTGCTATGGTGGTCGAAGCCTATGGTGGCAGGCGGCGCAGTGAACGGTCGGCAGACGCGGAGCAGCTCCAGCTCCGGTGGGCAGCCTCCATCACAGCTCAAGTTTACTCAATTTGTTCATCTTCTTCAGCAAATTGGTAACTCTTATTTGTCAATTTTATCTTTTCTTCCCCAATTCTATGTAAAAGTTTGTTTTTTATTCAATTCTTACATTTTTGTTTATTTGTTTGTTTTAATTTCAAAAATTCTAAAAAAATGGTTGGTGTTCTTTTATGGGTATTTTCTTTAATGTGTATATATAATCCCTTATGAATGAGAATTGATTCAAACTAGTTTTTCTTCAATTATTGAGCAAATTGTTGTTAAATTGGTTGAGTTGTATAATTTGATTTCATAAGTAGGATGTTATGTAGAATTCGGTTTTTGTTGAAGTTATTTTAGCTCCATAAGATAGTTAAATGAACTCTGAATTCATACGTGTTTCTTTGTTGTGCCTTGTGTTCGTTGATTTTAAGGAATTTGGACTTCTTAGCCCCATAAGTTGATTCATTTTCCTTAGAATTCGTTATAAAGTGCTTTTGTTATGTTATGTGTTTGTTTTCCATTTTCATTAATTTGAGGTTGTTTAAGCTAAAAAACAATTCTCAATTTATTGAAAATACGTTGTGTTCCTCTATGTGAATAGAAAAAATGTCATTGGTTTGAGAAGTTTATGGAAATCTGTGAAATGTGCTCATCATTAGGAGAAAAAGTTTATTAAAATGCATAAGGTATTGACGGTTTGTGAATAGATTATGTATGAGAGTTGAATGCATAATAGATTCTCTCTTTTATAAATTTTTTTATAGTGGAAGTATGTTTTCATGCTTGAATAGAGAGTTGGGGTTCTAAGGTATATTTCAAAACGGGCCTTTGAATTGCATGACTCTGGGGCTCCGGGCCGTGTGGAGAGTTGACAATCCTCCATATCGTGGTTAAGGAAATGAATCGACTCGGCCTTTGATTGATTTTTTTATTCTTAAGTGCGTAAGTTACGTAATATATTGT